CAAAATTCTTGGAGTATATTTGATATTGTGGTCGTTGAGTTTCTATTTTACTAGTATATGGTATGACTAGTATGAAACTACCAAATTATATATATATATATATATATACACACACAAAATAGTTGTTTTTTTTTATGAAAGAGTGTCACTTAAAATGTTGGGTTTTTTTCATGAAAATATTTGTCTATTAAAATACAACTATGTGTATACACATGAATATTTGTGGAAAGTCATTTGTCATGTTTGTGTTGTAAAAGAAACATTTGGGTCATATTGCCCTTATTGGACTCATTTATGGGTAATTCTATAACAACAAAATTGAAATTTATGGACAGGTTCTTCTAAAAAGGAAAGGAAATTTGACAATGTGTTGACTCTAAATAATGTTTATATCAGACAAAACTGTACTAAGTAGAACAAAATATTTGTGAGAAAAAAACTACCTCACAGAGGGATTTTCAAACTCAACATTTTTATTTGTTCTTACTTGCTTGAGTCAAATTGTTTGTGACATGAACGCTTAGGACATGTCAATTACAAAACATTGTAAGGAAAACCGATCAACTTAGAAGTTTTGTCTAACTTTGAGTGCAATAAATAAAAATGTCAATTTTTTGTTGAATCTAAGTATGTTAAGCATTCTTATAATTCTGTTGAAAGGAATTCTAATTCCTTAGATTTTATTTATATGGACATTTGTGATATGAAATCAGCACCATCTCGTGGTGGTAAAAAAGTATCTCATAACTTTTATTGACAATTGCATTAGATACGATTATGTATATTTTTTGAAAGGTAAGGATGACGCAATAAAAATGTCTAGGCAATACAAAATTGAAGTTGAAAATCATTTGGAAAAAAGATAAGAAGTTGTAGGGATGGAGAGTATAAATCTCCTTTTGTCGAAATATGTTTGGGAAGTAGAATTATCCATCAAACTACTATCATACTCATCTTAATCTAATGGAATTATAGGATAAAAAAATGAACTTTGAAGGAAATGATGGATGCATTACTTATAAGTTCAGTTTTACCACCAAACTTGTGTGGAGAAGCTATCTTATAGCAACATGGAACAACAAAAAGTTTTGTTTGTACAGAAAGGAAGCAATAAAATTTTTTTTTTGTTCAAGACACAATCTATTTCATATAAGAAATGAAAAATAAGGAAGTACAACTTGAAATATTTCAAAGTGCTGGGGTGTCTAGCCAAATTCCAAGTTCATATGCCAAAAGGATCAAAATCTGTAATGACCCTCCTGGTCATTTCTGTGTCTTGCCTTTTATGTGTCGTTTAGAGCATTCCTATAGCGACCCAAAGTCATTTATGACTTGCTGGGACTGACAGTTCGGTCACCTGGTCGTTCGTTTGGTCTTGGTGCGAGTTTTTGTGTTTTGGAGTTTATGAACCTTGAACGATCATTTTCGATCAAAAGTTCAAGAAGATGACATCAGAATCAAATTCTGATGATTTCATCAGCTCCGGAAATGTCATTTTAGGCTAGTAGGATGGTCGACATGACTCCCGAGGTTTTCAGTGTGAGTCGGTGCGATTAGGCGTTTTAGCCTTTGAAATTTAACCTAAGTTTGACTTTGGTCAACATTCTGAGTAAACGCGCTCGGATGAGAATTCCGTCAGCGTGGTTAGCTCCGGAATGTCGAGTTTGGTCTAGATTGACCCTTCTTTTGTGTCCCGAGGTTTTTGATATCTTTTCGAGCCATTTTGTGGATTTTGACTTAAAATGGCTTTTGGAAGTGGGACCCACTTTTTATCAAAATGACCTCTGATGGAAATTTTGACTACGTCGTTAAGTCTGGAATAGAGAATTTGGTATGGTTGCATATCTTGTTTGCGTGCACGGGGTTCCGAACGAGATCGGAGAACCCCATCGGAGTTTTAAGTTTTGGAAATTATTGCAGATTTTCTGCAATAAATGCAGGAAAACAGCAACATATTTCAAACTTATGTTGGGGTTTATTTGCACTGATTTCTTACCATAAATAAGTTTTCCTTTTAGGAA